ATATGGTAATAACGTCATGCGTTCATAACACAGATGTAATCAATATGATGGTTCTTTAAGTATTTCTTAGTTTTTAATTACCTACCTATTTCACTTATCTGTAATAATTAAGTCATGACTAAGGTTAGGGTATTTATAAATTTGCATGGTTTTTTTTAGTCGGCCTATTGCTGCAAGCATTCTCTGATGGACACTTGTTTTGTATTGTTAATAATACATATTCAAAATATATGTTTATATTTTAATTTACATAATATAGGTATAGGTAGGTTGCCGCGGTATTCGCATAATATATTTTGATATTTCGTATATATGTAGGTAAGTGCTTAATTTGGCTTCTTTTTTAAGCACTTGTTTTTGGGATTTCGGTAGAAAACTTAATTTTATGTTTTTATTAATTAACTGAATCTGAATCTGTTTTCGTACATCTAAATTGTATGTAAATTGCTTAAAAATTGTCTCTAATGTTCTGTCGGGAATTCCATATTGCTATGTTCCTACTCATATACAGCTGCTAATTATGTTCCATACAATATCACATTTCGAAATAATATAATTAATGAATACACTTTGCATAGATTGTTAAACTCCTAATTTAATTTAAATATTCATAAAAATTGAACGCATGTACATTATATTATTCAATGTATAATTCTATGGATATTCATAGTTCAGTTGTTTTTGAATGCATAATATGTAAACATGTATATTGTAAACAAGTTCAGTAAAGTCCATTATCTACTTAAAAAATGAATAATGAAAAAATGATATTAAATTAAATATTTCATTTTTTTTTTTTTTTTGGTACATACACGTCCTCACCCTAGTTACATAGGCGGAAATCCATTGAAAATATTGGGGGTTACTATTTTTCAAATGGTGTTCTTAATTTTTCCAAAAGAGGCTTTGCCCCTTTTACAATAACTTTTGGTTTTTTGGAGGGGGCGACAGACTTCCCCCCCCCGATTTCCACCAATGCCTGGTTATAGATTTTTTTTGATGAGGCATAGATATTATATCGGTTGGTGATAGTATGATAGTAAGACAGTATGTGTCAGAAAATCACATTTGTATTTATTCCAATAACTGCACACACACTCGATTTATCAGTGATTAGGGTTCTCAACTTGTTATAGTTTGCCTACCGTAGTCTATCTAATTTTGATATTTTGATATTTTGATATTTTGATATTAATTTCACTATGGAACACTAGCTGATATTAATAATTCGTTTTTTTTTTTTTAACAAAAACATATAGATACTGATCAATATTACATTTACAGAAAAAGTATGACAATATATTTTGTGGTAGGGAAAATATTGTAATATATTTTTCTGTAGATACACTTAAAAAAGGACAATTATTATTTTATTCCTAAATCGGGTGAATGGGTGAATCTGTTTATTTTGAACAGCACTTGCGTGAATAGAATTTAGAGTTTAAGAGTGCAAGCTATATTCATCCATATAATTAATTATCTAATAAATAGTGTCTCTCCACAGTTAAGTCTCAACATACATTTAAATTCTCCTTTCAACAAAAAAAAGGTTAACGATTAACGAAACAATATGTCATGATTAATTGAATAAAGTCTAACGAGGAAGAGGTATATTATTATTAATATGAGTATAAAATATTCTTTTGACAGCAAACGCACAGAACACACATTTTTTGACCTTTTTTTTAAAACTTTGTATGCAAACATGAAATTCTAACTGCAATTCATGTTCCGACATTTTTTTAAAGTCAATAATTTTATAAACAATACGTATTTCATAGTTTGTTTGTTGACTTAATGATTATCTATAATGGGTTTTTTTTTGATAATGAGTAAGATAGAATTGAAAAAAATGTAATAATCCATATTTAGATAATTTTAATGTTTAAAACATTTTCAAAAATAAATATAAATTGTACGATTTATATTGTTGATTTTTTTCAACATGGTTTATTACATAATATTTCTTTATTTACCAAAAATATGTATATGTATACGATATACAATAGCCTACGCCCGACATACAAGATGTCCTAACAAAAGTATATAATATGAATAATGTGTCTCTACAGTTTTCCCATTTAATTTAAATTTTCATCATGAAATTATCCAAAAATATCAACTTTATACCTTTACAATTTCAAAAACATTATTAATTATCAAATAAGAAAATGTTGGTATGCAAATTGCTATTTATCGTTCTCATGAGTTATTAGTTATTACCTGCCTTCGATAATAGGTATGATATAATTAAAACATTACACGTAAGTATGGTTTGAATAAGTCAGACTAAAATTGTATTCGTTTGGCTTCTAATTTTGTCCGTTCAAATCAAATATAACTCCAATGCTTTTAAAAACAAATAATGACACAATTTTCTTGTAAAAGCAATGGAGTGCCGTTCAAAGAAAACACTCCTCTGGTGAAGAGGTATCGTCGTGGTCCTAAATGTGAGCTAAACTATTTCATTTACTTGATGAAATAGTTGACAAATAGAATGGTAGTCTGAAATTTCTAACTGTAGAGAGGTAACCCTTCAACTTACTTAGTAAAGATTGACGGCTGAAAATGTTTACCTCCCAGCTGAAAAACTTAAATGACATTTGATTTATGTAAATATAGGCAAGGCTTGATAATTTAATGATATAATTACTAATCGAGTTAAGTTGATGGAAAACACTAAAAGAAGTTAAAAATCAATAGTAATTCTAATTTTTTTTTACTCAGTTAAGTTAAATTTATAAGGAAACGTACCATTAACTTAGTAATTTAAGTTAAGTTATTTATTTATTTATGTTTAACTAGTTATTTATTTTATATCAATCAGTTAAGTTAAAAACCACGATAATGAAAATTAAATTTTAAAATGTTAACTCAACTCTAACTTTTTAACTCATTTATGTCCATGTATGCATACACACTCAAAGTGTCGAACTCACGTACGTAATAAAATCTTAACTCATAATCAAAAAATAATAATTTGCGACACATTACACACCGATTCGATTTCCTATTACAAATTTAATTACTAGAACGACCTTTTTATGCTTAATTGTTTTTTTTTCTTTTGGAAATATTAAGCAGCTACACACACACCCCATGGCAGTTTCGTTGCCCAATCTCTCTCACTTTCTTCGACCATACGAGTTTGCAGAATGGTCAGTTTACCTACCCATTGCGTTCAATGTATTACACGACATATGTCGTAAATATATGCACCATTGCATCGTACGCTATCACAGCTGATTTAAACAATTATTATCGGTACCTATACTTGTACACGTGCCACTTGAATCACCTCCTAAAGTTGACCGGATTCGATTAATTAGAGCTCGCATTCGACGTGTTAAAAGTCCCCAATAGTGTTCTATAACGGGTAATACAAAACACTATTGCCTTAGAACTGTCACATTGACTTAAACAGGACATACGCCGGTACCGAAAGTGTACCAGTGTGGTTTAAACCCGGGCTTCTTATAAAATTAAGAAAACTAGCATTAAATCCCAATACGAATGGTGCAATTCGGTCATAACCGTTTATTTATTATTGGGTTAAAATGTTCCAATGAAAAATAATCTCGTACCTACATAGATTATATTACATTTGGTGTTTCTTTGTGCATTATGAATATTATTATATATGTTCACTGTATATGCACACGCGAGAGAGTGTATTGAATTACGTTCGTGGTACTATTATGGTAATACATAATATTCAGATATTGTGACTATTTTATATTTATCTGATTGTGTTGGTTTGCCTTGGGTGGGTCAATTTATTGAGATGACATTCAAGATTGACCTAAATTGATTATAGGCACATATATCTCGATGTGTCGTGAATGGTGATTTATTTTCCTATTCAGTCCGATAATTTTAAACTCCATCATGCACCTCATACCTATCTTATATATCTATCTATCTTCTCAGCTCTTTAAGTTGTCTGAATAGTCGACGAGTTAAAAATGTAAACTTGTTGAAATGCATTGGGGTCATTGTAATTGACTGACATTTGACGAGTGTCATAATATCTAGAACACACGAATAACTGAACATTCGGTTATCTTATCTTTAATAATATTATCCGATTGTGAGCACAAGCATTCGGCAAACATATACGCGTAACACGCGTATTACTTGGATTTCTTTTTTACATTTTTTTTTGGAAAAGGTATACGACGGTCAAATGATCAATACCTTACGTACACGTCCCCATCCCCTTCCAATGAAAATGTCGACATTTTTTTCAAGTCAACATTTAGCAGTCAATTAGCGATAGTTTGCAAGACTATATGTTCACACTTTACAATCATTCGTCAGCCTTTAGTTCGATCATATAACAACAAAAACTAAGGGTTGGGCTGAAGACACACGGGTATACACTTACTATACTATACTATACTATATGAATAACAATATAAAATAAATACATTTGACCCCAGGCCGTCATTAGATATTTTCCGCCCTAAAGTGGAAATTTGAATGCCGTTCTTCTTAACCAATTATATTTGTTAGATTTTGCCGCCTTTAAAATTGTATGCCGTCCAAAAGCAACGCATGACTTGCTTATTGTGTCCTAAGCGATGGGCTTGCACATAACGATGCAATCCTGGACACAAATGAGTTAAAAAGTTAAAGTTAATAGTATTAGTTTTTAATTTTTAACTTAGTTTTTATTAGCTTCATTTAATTTTTTATTATTTAAAAAAATATAACTGGATGTTTATATGATATTAAAAAATAAGTAACTTAACTCAAGTCAGTAAGTTAACTGTAAGTTTCCGAATAACTAGCATGTATCCTTAAATTTAAAAATGTAGGGAAAATAAAAAAATATAAATCATTATTAAAAGGTTTTGTTACCATACATATAGTTGACAATAACTAATCAAATACAAATATTATATTATGATACTCAAAAATGTTTTGCATTAAAACCTATATATATGGCATACTATTATGTGTATGTTTAATGTCTTACTAAAAAAAAAAACAATAGGTATTAAATGAATATGAATAAATTATATTAAATTATTTTTATCACCTTTGGTATTTCATCAAATGTCTGTATTTTAACGTACAACAAAATAAAAACGATAGGTACTTTATACATATGACTTTCTTTGAGAATAAGTTCTAAATTAATTACGTACTACATCACAATTTTATCCTTAAACAGAAACATTATATTAATTAATAGTTAATACACTGTTTATTATAATTATTTATTACATTAATTAATCATCAAATTCTTCGAAATGAGACAACACTTGATTGTTATTTCCTGTAGTTTCTTCGAGCAATTTTTTTAATAATTCGTTTGGTTTGTGCTGGAAATCAATTAAGAACAATTAAATATTACCTGATATTATAAACAAAACAAAAACATTAAAAACGCAAGAAACGACTGCTACTTATGAATACCTTTTTTAACATTATGTCTGAGAAATTGAAATTATGAAAAAATGACTGGATTTTAATCTGACGAAAGGATTTCAGTCGGTACTGCTGATTTGTTTCCAACAGCTTTGATACCATATCAGTGGCACCTCTGCTGACATTTGCCAACGCGATATCGATTTCATCGTGTGACTTTGGCGGATACTGAAAACAAAACATTAATTAATGAACATCCGTTATTTTGGCCGTAATGAAATAACGAATAGCATGACTATCCACAATAGTAGTAATATAATACGGCCTTGTTTAATGGAATTAAAAAAAAAAAACATTAAACCGAACAAAATTACATCACGCTTGTTTAAGTACTTTTAGACCACTTTTATATAGGGTTTTAGTATAATTATTATGTGGAACCTAAAATATGTTCATTAAAACGGGAAAAACGTAGTAGCTGGTTTATCTGAGGAAATGTCGAATTCCGTTAGTTAAATGTTAAATAATATTATTTTTTTTTACAAAATAACTATCTCATAATATGTAATAAGCATTATTAATTATTTTTATCATGAGATTGCTGTGTCTTGAAATAGAAATATAAAAAGTTGTAAAAAATCAATAAAATGCAATCAGTTATTTTGTAATATAATATTTAGTAATAATATATAATACGAATATTATATACGTTTATAAATCTGCCGGATGTCTTTTCCATGGTTGTCAATTTATTATTCGAATGAAATATTTCGAATCTTAATACATAATGAAATGAAGAACTTTGACGGCCATCCGGCAGTAAATCATTACATAACTTTTTCAAATTAGAATATTAATCAACGTAACGGATATGTAAATAATTTAGAATATTAAGTAAATATTTTTCTCTTGAAATGAATGTGTTATCTTAAGTTTACATCGCCATCCTATATCTTATATAAATACAATTCTTATTATCATACAAATGTTGAAAACTTTATTTTACATTTTTACATAATATATACAGTTGAGCCATAAGTTTTGAACAAAGTTTATTTTTCAACTTATTAAAAACAAAACACACACACAATGACAGTATTAAGAAAAAATATTGATTTTTATTTTCTTCAAATAATATAATATATATATATATATATATATATGATAATTTATCAACCACCAATCAAAAGTCGTTAATATAGACGTTGAGGTTACTACCTCATGGACACCTGTAAACTAGCTACAGTGATGTTTATGATGCGTTCCCAGATATTGACATAAAAAATGTACCAAGATTTTTTTACAGATGATAAATTTAAAAACAAAGTATGTAGAGCTATTTAGGTTATGTGTATAAACACTTAAGTAATAAATGTATCAACAACGTATGAATACCAAGTAAACGCGTTTATAATTACCTATCGGTTTATGGTACATTATTCATGGTATTTATTTTAAAACATAAATAAGCTTCGGATGGAAATGTACAACTGTGGTTCGAAACATAAAGGTTTTATTGATGATTATTATTATTATTAGGTGATATCTATTATCACAGGATGTATAAAAAATAAAAAAATGTTTACTTCGAAGAATATTATATGTTTGTCAGATACTGCGTCTGAGAATCTCAGACTGAGATACATCATACACAATTCGTGAGTAGTGTTCAATAGACAAACAAGTCGAATCTGCGTGCAACAATTTTCGACGATAAATAATAATACATTACAACGTAAGCGTGTGCCATAAAATAATACACTTGAAAACGAATTAGACAGTTTAAATTAATTTTGAAACAAAGTACCTATATATAATACCTATTATATTCGTACACTCCGCGTTTTTATGGCGCCTAAAGTAGAAGACAAAAAAAAAAAAAAAATGACGCCATCGACGCTGGGTAAATAAACAGATGATCCGAAAACAGAGACTATGTCTGAGTACCTATGTATGTACGAAGTTGAATGATTGTTTTTTTCTGACTTTGAGTAAATGATAGGTTATCAGTCATAATTGCGTTGTTTTTGTATTCCACGTGGAAAAAAAAAGGAGCGTGCCTATCCTCCTATCATAGTTTCAAGGTTGAAGTCGAATTTCGAGCAAGCGAACACACACATACCCACACGCGATGGTGAAGATGATGGTACGAACGGCGATTGCCATCTCCCGTATAACATATTATAACCTTCGAAAAATTATATAATAACAAGACAACGACGGTTTTACATTATATTATAGCAGAAGAACAAAACGAATTAGGAAAAACGCTTTTATGGTGCGTAATCACATTGATTAAAAATCACGTAAATTGCGTATGTAATACCCATACATTATTTTTTAACTAAACGTATTCGGCTGAATACACTTAAATGCATGCCATTAAATCCACCTAGTCTTCGTTGACCGTACCTATGTAATGATGGTATTTTTACAACGAAATCTCGAGGCACATTGCACACACGATGCGTGTTGCAGTCGAATATTTACGGGTACACAGATCTGGGATAAAAAAAAATATACATTGAAGTAGGTATTGCATACTACACGAGTGTAACTATATAATTATTAATATCATGACTATTATCGTAACGCGGTGAAGTAATAATTTGCGTTAATGTCACAACTCAAAATTTTGTCAAAATTATTGTATGTAACCCGAGTGTCAGGTAGGTTCCCGTAAACAGGGCGATTCGAAATTTATGTTATAGCCATTTTATCATTTTATCATTCAAATATTCAAAAATTCAAAACAGTAAACAATTTACGGTATAAAAGTTTTTTGATCTATATAAAACATCTATTATGATTTCATAGTTTTATAATTGTTTACAATATTTTAGGGGGGTTTTGGGGGGGTCAACTTTAGAAATTTCAAATGGGAACCTATTTTTTTTTTGCACACATAATGTGAAAACTTTGTAAAATAAATTTTAGTGCATGAAGAACATTAATTAATGAAAAACTCTATGCTTGACAGCTATTTAAAAAAAAAATAGATTTCCATTTGAATTTCTAAAGTTGCTCCCCCCACTCCTAAAAAAAAAAAATAACGTGAACAATTATAAAATTATGAAATCATAGTATATGTTTCTAAATCAAAAAACTTTAATATTATATATTTTCACTATTTTGAATATTTATATGATAAAGTGGCTGTAACATTAATTTTGAACCTCCCTGTATGCATATATTATATATATTTTTTGATCAATCTACACGACAATAATTGAACTGTATTTTGAGGTGGTCTAACTATGACGTTTACTACCTATGTGATGTTATAGTGCGTTTAATTTAAAATGTATAATAATATTAATAGTTGTTGCCGAGGTGCAATTATTATAATCAGTGCCGAAACTTATATGACGAGTTGCCGGAGATGAGGGACCCGACCTCGAGAACACCTAAGGGCTAAGGTGTCAACCACACTCTGTAAACATATTTGACATTAATACTAACCGCCCAAATTTCAATAAGTCTACTCAAAACAGAACACTACGTCACTACCTATACCAGATTTCGTATGTATTGAGCTGCGATTATGCGCATAAACCATGTGAAAATCCTAAGCTGATCGTTATAATAATTTGTATACGTTTGTCTTAAAAATCTGTACCTGATGGGTATCAAACAATATGAAAGTAACACGCAGACTATATTGTATTAATTTTGATTTAAATGTAGTGCATATAAAGTAAAAGTTTAATATTAACATTATAATATAGTTCACGTGTTTGACCATAATACGATGGTATTAAATTATATTTTACTGAGTGATTCATTTAACGATAAAAATTGTAATCATTTTTTACTATTATTCATCGTAGTCATTTTTTGAGTATAATACTCTTTCTTTTCCAGGACCATTTGCGTTTTTATTTTTTATTCCGAAGCAGAATATTATTCCGAGTACTTCGGAAACTTATAAAAATCAAATTTCGGACAAGTAGTTTATCAGGTAAAGTAGGTATTTCAAGTTTAGACAAGCGGAGGAGCGCGAATCTATATTTTGCTGACGACTCTTGCATCACTCCGCTAATCAAAACATCAAACGCCTACTTATAATTCATAAACTATAATCGTCCAAAATTCGATTTTTATACATCGAAATGCTCCAAAAAATGTTCTGTTGAGGAGGGGTAAAGAATTAAAAATGTAAGATGTCATTAAAAAAGTAAAAATATAAAAAATTGTGAAAAAACATTCTTTTTTAGAACATTTTTGTTTCTTAGACATAAAATTACGTAAAATATTTCTAAAAACGTTATTTTTGAAAAAAATTAGGTCTTCCGTTTAATTATATATGAGAGGCACAGACGCGTCCGCTAAAGGAAAAATCGGATATTTTAGTCACAAAAATGTTGGGGTCGGGTGCAAGTAATGCTAATTTATTTAAAAACTCGCAGGTACCGCCGACGACGACGGCGGCGTAAGGGTAATAAAAAGCGGCACTAATTACCACTATATAATATATATTTTATACGACAATGGGGTTGACTGCGGAGTACAAATTACGCTCATACGTCTTTTCGTTTACCTGCGTTTACATGCATCGCACAAATTGCACGAAATTAGTATACAAAGGTAGTGATCGGGGGAGCAGTAGGTACTTTATTTGTATGCACAATATGTAGCTCGATACTGTACAGAGCGCTAGAAATGCAAACGGTTTGCGTAAAAAATGTAATTTGTCCGCTATTCCAACAACCTTTGCACCGTATCGAATATTTAATCAAAAGATTTTTCCGTTGTATTTGTAATCATACACGGCAACCATATAATAATATATCAACTTAAAAAAAAAATTTCAAACGACTCACAATTTTTTTTGCAGTCACATCCGGTACTAGTGACCTGCAGATGTCAATTATACCGATATACTGCAACTAAGGATAACAATTTTGATAAAACATTTTTTTTAGTATTTACGTAATATACGCATCATGATGACATACCTACACGAGATGCACCGAACTACAGGCTGCAGCCGTCTAAGAGTATAAGAAAATAAAGTGAAGCTCAATAAACATTAACAAGCAGTGACAATTTTTTTTAAATCATCGAAAATTTAGCAGAATTACATTGGAAAAAAACAACTACTAACATAATATAGTAGCGATAGCAAGATTCTCTTTTTTTTCGGTAGAGGGAGGGGGGAGGGTAGCGTTAGCGCACAGCAAAAACAAACAGTACATAGTGTCGCACCATCGGACCCTCGAGTTATA